GGATGTGATGTTCGACATGTGATCTGTTCGACATTATATATAGTAAACAAAGAATGCAAGCATATTTGCACAAAAATATACTATAACTAATAGGGTCTATTGGCTAGCCAGATCTAGGTAGTCGAAACACTGGACGGCCATTTCGCTAGTCCGCCTACAAGCTTATCAATAAAAGAGAGAAGTGGTTAACCGATGTTTAGGTCGCCTAGATCTAATTAGCAAGTACCACTGTTTGATGTAAGTAGTACACAACTACTGATCCCAAATAGTCAGTAGTATAGAGATATATGCAAAAATTATGTAAATATCTAATTTAATTTAGATCTAGCATTACCTATTTATAAACCAAAACCCTGGGCTCGTTACGTTGATGATACATTTGTAATCAATGAAGAAATGATTTAAAATATGCCTATACAAAAATAATAAACAACAGGTTGAAGATGAGGCATTAAATCCCAGAAGAAGAGATTACGAAATGATCGCCCTCTGTAGTGAACTGGCAGAAGTTAGAATTCATGGATCGTTGTATAGGGTCCTAGTGGCTCAACGGTCTTTGAGGTCGCCATGTAACCAGAAAGTACTGGGTTCGAATCCCCGTGGGTGATTGCTGATGAAGAGTCCTAAACTAAGACGATACAGCTATACAGTACTCCCAGGTTTTCCAGTGGTTCTCCAACTGATGTCACCTCATGATTAAATCCTCCACCCAATCAAACAAATTCTCTGCAAAACCAATACTTGGAAATTAATATTCGAAGACATCAAATTCATAAAACAAGAAGAATTAGAAAACAACAAAATTCCAGTCTTAGATGTCTTAATCAGGGGAACTAACACAGGAAATTTAGAAATACAAGTATATAGGAAATCGGAGCACACATATCAAATAATTAACTATACTAGCAATATCCCAATTACTCACAACAGAAACTGTGGTCAGACATTGTTTAAAAGAGTTCAAACACACTGCAGCACTCCAAAGTTGTAAAGAATGGAAGAAAAATACCTACTAACGGATACCCTCACAATTTCATCAAAAGTGTTTAAAATTGAATCACCACACCAACAAAAAACCATCATCAAAGACCACAAGAAAATTCATCCTACCATATATAAAAAATATCTCTGAAATATCAGCTAGAATATTGAAACCGTTTGAAATCAATGTAGCACCCAAGCCAGTCAAATCACTTTTATTCGATATTGTGCAACGCGAATTATCCAACAGAAGAAATAAATAAAATTAATACCATATTAGTTTGTTTATTAGATATATCACACAGTGAAACAGTATTATTTACTGGATGACGTCTCGAACAAAATTTATTGTTCATAATCATCCAGTCATCCAGTAAATAATACTGTTTCACTGTGTGATATATCTAATAAACAAACTAATATGGAATTACTTACTACCACAGTGCCCAAGTTTTATACATATATTAAAAAATTCATACCATTTAGAAAATAAATCGTATGAACCTTAACAGATATTACATCGGCCAATGTGGGCCTCTCCCCGTCGAACCAGAGTCCAAGGACACAAATTAGCCATAAAAAGACATGATATATTTTCTTTCATATCAATGGATATAGATAGTTATGGAAATCAGTTTGATTGAGATAATGTTGACATTTTCAACAGAGGAAACACACAAAGTGCATTTTAATGTCGATGATCGTCACTTTACATACTACTGGTAAATCATGTTAGTAGCGTATGCAACAACTTTGTTACTAGCTTCTGATCATTAGTTCTGGTTAAAATATATATCTGAGGAATTTTCATCATTGTTTTTAGCCTCTCGCATATTTGAACCAGGCTTCTTCTAAATATCAAGTAATGAGGATGAATTTTTTTTCACTTTTCGTTGTCTTGGGGATATATGAAAGTAGAATTCAGGTCTATTTGCGTGTTTATGTGCGTCGGTGGCACAGTGGTTAGGATTCTCGCCGACCATGCACATGGTCCGGGGTTCGAGCCCTCGCCGACGCACACCTGATATCTATGGTCGGCCTGCAAAATTTGGGCTACCGATATCCATGCTGAAAATTCCATACTTGTACCAAAAATACAGTATGGAATCAAGCTGTAAATCAAAAATAAAAAAAATAAAAAAATTTGGACCTTCGATCGTAACATATTATTAACATCAACGATGTAACTTTTTCATAAGCTTTTCATTGAGGTTCGAGTAGACGGAAATGTACAACTGTTCCTCCATGCTTCCTAGTTCCATTTTAGAGAAGCGTGTAAGGCTGACGAATACGCCATAATTTTTGATGGAACATAAGTCTTCAAGCTTGTATCATGAAGTACCAGCAGCACTGATGTCTATTCTTTCGAAGCGTAAAGCGTGTTAGCTGATTCACTTATCTAGAGGGTTCCATCAGCCACAACGAGTTGATCGAAATGTTAGCATGGACACAGAAGGCTCGTTTGCCGTAAGTATGCTAACTGTCACCACATCTGGCTTAGCTGGCGTTATACCCGACTATCGACCAGAGGACGTGTATACTGCTCAGAAGTTCATTATCTCCTCCTTTATGTCTCTGAGATATGGCCGTTGAAAGCAGAAGACATCTAGAGGCCAACAAGCTGTCTTTGATCACAGGTGTCTTCGTTTTGTCTCCAATGTGAAGTAGTATAACAGGGTGAGCAATGTTGAGGTTAGGCGTGGAGTGCTAGTTAACGAGGGGAAATCGATCAACGAGGTTGTGAAGTCACACCGATTGAGATGGTTAGGCAATGTGTTACGCATGTCTAGCCATCGCCTTCCTCCCCATTGAAAATCAAGTTTGAAAAGACCTAGTAGTGGTCAAACCCAAACATGGCATCGGTCAGTGAAACCCACAACAGTTAGTGTGAGCCGGTCACATAGGGGTTGTAGATTGGCTTCCTGGTTAAGGTCTCCGGGATGGTAAAAAACCAATGGTGGCTGAGGATATTTGGTGTTATAGCTGGAAATCGTTCTCGGTGTTGCGGATGTAATCCTTCTTTGTGAATTGTCATATCCAATGGCATTCTACTGTTCTTCCGTATTACTATTCTTTTTGCCTCACATTTTTGTTTGTAATCCCTCTTTTGAACTTTCTTTTTACTCTCTTCTCCTGCTTTATGTGCAGCTTGGAGAGAGTGTAGCAACTCCAAATGCTTCACCTTTGTGCATAGTTCTACGTTGAAATGAGTCAGTCATGTGCTTATCTTTTACAGGGCATAGCAACTAGCCTCACGTTCAACCTTCCCTCTTTACCAGTCTTACTGGTGGTTTATTAAGACTCAGGGCGGTGTCGACCGGGGATGGAATCCCGTACCACGTGCCTAGTTGGTGAGTATTTCATCTGTGAACCATCGGGTGTTTCGCAACTCTTCAATCCGTCCATTATTATTATCAATTTAAGCCGGTTAGGATACAGAAATCTGCAAAAAAGAAATAGTTAAAACCAATATTTTCAAAATGGACACCTCGTCTACTAGTTTAGATATACTTACGGGAGTAGAATATAGATTACAACAATAAAGGAAATGTTGAACGTTCATCAGTTTCAAAAAAATGGATACTGAACAAAGGATACTCTTTTCGATAACTTCATGATCAGTCTCTACAGTTATGTATACATTAAAGTGAATAAATTAATTAGTAATATGAACATCATTATTTTTTAAATAACATCGAATCAATAATATTGATAGATTACAACTCAATAGCATCAACATAAAATAAGCGGAATGTCAAAAAAATTAGGAAAGATAATATTACAAATTCATGAATTTATAGTTTCTACTGAAGGCTGGCCAAGGTAGTAGTAGTAGGGCCTGCACCTGCTTCTTTTGAACACAGAGCATTGGTTGTTTGAGGTGAATTGCGATAACCTCTGCTCTTTGGAACATTTGGTGCTTCGATGATTTCGGCAATTCATTAAGCACACGGTAGATTATAGAGAATGATTCTTCAAAGCTGGCTGGCTTTGTGGCCGGTTTGGACCAGCTAGTCCAATATCGAACTGTTAATGATTTTGCGCTACACGTTTACTTAGCCATAGTGTGAGATGTCCTCGAGCACGAAAAATCAAGTTCCAAGAGCAACGGCCGATATTATTTAACGATATATCAGTCGCTCTTTCCTACACATTTGATTTTTCAGTTACTTCAGGCAAGGTAAACATTCTTTGCTGTAAAATTAGTCTGGAAATCCACTGTGGGAAGGGAAAAAACAGCAAATTCGGATTGCTAATACCAATGTGAGGTCAATCATTTCTTCTCTTTGTGGGTAATAACTCAGCTCATGCGTCACGTAGACCATTTTGAACGGCCTACTGCAAACGTTTATCAATAACTACATTCGTTGATTCCAGACATGGTCTTTTGGAAACGATTAGTAGCAACGAACTCTGGGAAGAGATCAATCGAGAACCCATTGCTTAAAAACTATTCCAAAGAAAGCGAAGGTAGACTGGACACACACTGAGGAGAACATTGAGTGAAGTTTTTCAACAAGCCCTTCAGTGTAACCCGACGATGATACGTTGGAGATCGTGTGAGAAGGAAATAAGAGCCCATGAGCAGCCATGGGAGCAGATGAAAAGGAACACATGGAAAGAGATGAAACGAAGGTGTGTTGCTTGAGCCCTAATTTCCATTCCAATCCCATGGTATTGTTAATAACAATCATAATTTTCATAGAAGCAGTATTTCAAAAACAATAATTTATTCTCTGCACCACGTGTCAAATCAAACCGAAATCAATTTGTACATGATTTATTAGGCACATTGTGTTGTTTATCTCAGCTACAAGTCGTACCTATTCACCTCAGTATTCCTGACTTTCTGCCTAGCTATCAGTGTAATGGTGTATAGACAAGGAACCGTCAAAAAATATGGAGTTGATATTGGCTATTGACAAGCTTTTCTAATTGGTCAGTTGAACAACCAATCATCATTTCACTTGGATGCCTTCTTATTCCCAATAATGCTAAACTGTCTTGTACAATTTATTCTTGTTTAAATGCGATGTTTAATGTTTTGATACAAATTAAAGATTTGAAATACACTAAACATCTCTGATCAAATATAATCACAATAATAATAATAATAATAATAATAAAATGCAACTTCAAAATGGAACTAATTTTTTAAATTCAGATGAAATGAATAAGACTGAATTATGGAAACTTTTATCAAATTGTGGTAAACTTATTGAAATCCCAGAGAATAATACATATTACATTAATGGCACAGGACATATGCCTGGTTTGTTTAAACCACACTGGGTTGTATTATACAATGTAGCCTTTGATGTATTCTTTGTTGGGTGTATATTACTCGCGGGAATTACAGGGAATATATTAAGCGGATTTGTTCTGGCTCGTGATCGATCTCATGGAACAACAAGTTTAATATTAACCAGTCTAGCTGTATTCGATACGCTGTTTTTAATTCTATGCTTCTTTTTTCAATTTCTTAAAACATTATCCCTATATATCCTTTGGTTATCATATATGAATTTTTATGCGCATACAAGTAAAGTACTGTATGCTTCTGGGATGGCAGTAAGAATGATGCGTAATTGGACAGTTGTACTTGTTTCATTAGAACGTTGGGTAGCTGTATGCAAACCATTACATGCACCGAGTATATGCACACGTAAGAAAGCGCATATTGCAATCACATTGATCGTTGTCCTCTCATTCCTATATAATATTCCACATTTTTTTATTGTTGATGCAATGCCATATTTGTGTTATTTTAACACCACAGACAGTCCAATTTCTAGTGGATATTTTAATTATACAAATTTACCTAAAGGTATTCTAGTCTATGACAGTGCTATACGTCAATGGGTTGAAAATAATTATCCCTTTCGACTGATATATCGTTTAATTAGTTATACAATATTAATAATTATCTTACCAAATGTTATCATTGCTATATTCAATGTATTATTAATTCGTGGAATTAAATACGCCAATCAGAGGAGAGCTCAAATTGTCGCTCGTATTGATTGTGCTAATCGACAATTCGAGCAGTGTAATTATCATTCCTTACACAGAGATTATCATTCACATCAACCTATACATCAATCACATCCCCATCATCCTCATTCCCATCATCTTCACCATCATCATCACCATCACAATGTGCCAAAGTATATCCATTCAACGCCGAGTTCTTCAGATAACCACGCTTATTTTGTACGTATTTCAAAATCGAATCGTTCACGTACAATGGAGGTGAATCGGTTATGCGTTGGAGTGATTATCATTTATTTAGTGTGTGAGCTACCAGCTGTCGGCTATCAAATTATCCACCTGATGAATCATCGAAGTTTAATTGAAATCACACGACCTGTTACAAATGCTCTAGTCTGTTTGAATAGTGGAGTGAATTTTTTTGTCTATGTATTTCTCGGCAGAAGATTTCGTTCCCAATTGAAAGATATATTTCGTAATCTAATTAATAAGTGTAAAAAGCATAATGAACAGAGAAAGCTGAATGTGCATACAACACAGTATATGAATTCATTACGGCATGATATGGCGTCAGTGGATAAAGAAAGTGAACAGCTGTTAATGAAAGATAATAATACCAATAGTAATAATAATAATAGTAATAGTAAAAATAACAATAGTACTAAATTTTCAAGACAAATTCCTCCGTCTGATTTACAGCCTACAGTGAATCGGCTTAGTTTAAGTGCAGCTTATACTACTCAAACGTCAATTATGGAATCATAGGAAAAAAAACATTGTTGTATTTGTTTTGTTTAATTTATTTTGTTTTTTGCTGTATATATATATATCCCCGAATAATTTACAAAAGTCATATGCAACTGATCGCTATTCACTGAACAGAGTTTCAAATGCTGCTATTATACTGTCACTGTAAATAATGATACTACACTAATGAAAATGACAACTAATGTCAGATGAACAAGAAATGATATTCCATTCCTTTATTGCAGTCGGTGTATAAACTGAGAAGGAATGTTGAACGCCCTCCTCTCACCCCTATGAACCTCATCAGAGAATAAAAAAAAACATAAGAAAATCAGAAATAATTTATGATCTTATGCACATATGTCAATAATGGAAGTAAAAAGAATATCGACTTGGATGACAGAAGTAACTTGTTTAAAATATGCATATATATATATATGTATACATATACAAAACATTTATAAAGTATTACTCTTAGTAATGAATGACACGCTCATTTCGTGTTTTGGGCTTATAAACGTGAATAATTGAGAAGTTGTTTTTCGAAAATCTGTGTCATATATACATGTGTATTAAAATAAGGTTGTCATCTATTTCCGGCTGAGTCTTGCATCATTGTTATTATTTATACATAGTATTGTTCCCTTAGGGCTTCAACAGGACATCTTCACTTTTTCCCATTTTCTGAGATCCTTTTTAACTAGCCCTCATAATTCCCCAAAGTCTCTGATCTTCTTATCGCACGATCTACTCCATGTCACCTTCGGACTCATGCCTCACTCGTCGTTCCCCATTCAGGTTACATTTGAGCAACTGCTAGGCGTGCGGTAGATATCATTCGACGGTATCCCCAGAGTGTGCCTAATGCATCTCTATTTTCTTAAGCATATTTGCTAGGCAATAGGTTTTATTTATTTATTTTGTTTGATTACAGCTTGATTCCACAGCGTATTTTCAGTACAGGTATGGAATTTTCATCATGTGATATCGGTAGCCCGAATCTTGCAGGCCAACCATAGATATCAGGTGTGCGTTGGCAGGTGATCAAACTTCGAACCATATGCATGATCGGCGAGAGTCCCAACCAATTGTGCCACCGACGCTCAAGCCAGCTCCTCAACTTGGTTAATTGATTTTCAGAGTTTCTTGTTTCTCATTCGTTTTGGTTATTTTATCTTCAGTATGGAGCAAAGTCAGTTATTGATAAAAGTCAACGATCTGATGCAAATGCATTTGGTAATGTGCAGTGAAAGTTTATAAGTTTATAAGGAACTGACTGACTTAATATTTGTGTTAAAAATCCGAATATGAATGCTGAAGATTTTCGAACTGATTTAAGACTGATGAAGGCGTATCTTGCCCCCTATCCCATCGATTTTGTCTTTAACATTGTCCATTCCGCCTTTGGTTGTAACTAAGTAGTCTAGATCAGTGAAGTGAGTAACCTCTTTCTAATTTCCCCCATTATTAGTGATTGGGGAATGATATGGATAACAAACAAAGTTTTTTTTTATTTTCATGATCTCTGTTTTCTCCATGTTCACTTGAAGCCCTGTGTTCTCTGCTTCTTCTGCCTGTTTGTTGGTTTTTCAGACCAGGAAGCATGCATTCTAATGTAATGTTGGTAACCTGAAGCACAATGAACGTCCCTATCCTGAGAAATGCTTTTACTTTAGGTGGGATTTACAGTTAATTTAATGACAATAAAAAATTACTTGAAGCCTTCTGTCTCTAAATGCCTGCTATACAACTCTCTCTTAGTTGTAATTACCGATGTTTAGCAGTCACATTAATTAATAATTATGTTCATGAGCGAAAGTACGAATGCAACAGGCATCCTTATTAAATAGAAAATACATTGATATGATGCATCATAACCATAGGCTTGAATTTATTATTTTTATTTTTGGTTACAAGGCGAAGTTCCTGGTTCGAACCCCGGTGGGTGCGTACTGCTGAAGAGTCCCAAACTATGACGAAACAGTTGTCCAGTAATCCCAGGTTTCCCAGTGGTTCTCTAAGTGACGTCATCTGATGATGAAATCCTCCATGCAATCAAACAAAATCCCCACAAAACCAATACATGAAAACTGATAACTAACTTACAAACTGTGAATCTGATTTATGATATCACCAGTTTTAATGACGTGAACTGCTGTCTGCCCGTCAAACACTCCATATTTCCAAAGATTCAACTGGTAGTAATTTGACTTCTTTCAAGTTTAATCACAGACTGACATCAGTTAGAGAAGCATTGAACATCAGGAGGGAGTACTGGAAAGCCTTTTCGTCCCAATTGGTGACTCGTCGGCAGTACTCTACCAAATTGAGGTTCAAATCTAAGATCTGACTATTCTCTCAACTGATTACCAACTAGATTTCGCAGTGAATCGAATGCAGACCTGTCATTTGCTTGGTTGCTGAGTATTCTATCAAGAAAACGCTGACCTAGAAAAATTTACTAAAACTTCTTTCACATTTGTTTTAAACTTATATAAATGTTTACATAGCAAAAGTCCAGGAGGCAAATTTGATCTGCTTCATCTCAGTACAGGATATATTTTGAGGATTAATTAGTCTACATACATGCATACGGGACGTTTACGAGAAAATACTAAAAAATGAAAATCTTCACCTTCAAAATACTGACATCAACTTATTCCTTGTTGCCAGTACTCAACGAGTCTCAACTGTTTAAAGTGACATACAATGAGATGTGTAGTCAAATATGAACTACAGAACTTCACTAAAAACCCACTGTACCATAATCAATGACTAAGCTACTCAGATAAATGTGTGTTTATAGATTTACTGCATAATATAATCCTTCTTGTGTTGAATAAATAATAAAAATAATAACAGCTTTATTGTGAACAGTGTCCATATAATGTATAATATTTTCAGCGAAAATTATTGCACAATAATTGCTCTTTTTATTCAAGATCGTAAAAGAAAAGAGTAGCTGACAGTTAGTTAAATCAGTAACACGCTGCTAACTGACTGGAGGTGAAAGCCAGTCCTACATGAGATTTCTTTCTTACTTTTTTCGAAAAATTTTTTTATTTTGATTTACAGCTTGATTCCACACTGTATTTTTGGTACAAGTATGGAATTTTCAGCATGGATATCGGTAGCCCAAATTTTGCAGGCCGACCAAAGATATCAGGTGTGCGCCGGTGCAGGCTCGAACCCCGGATCATGTGCATGGTCGGTGAGAGTCCTTGCCAATGTGCCACCGACGCACAACATTTGGTTGTGTAACAATGAAAAAAATTGGAGGAGTAGATTTCCTGACTCAAGAACATATTGATAGCTGAATAGTTTGAAAACTACAAGTAATCAGTTTTATTTTTCAGGCAGTAGCAGCTTGTACTACAGCTCTCAGGAATGGCTAACTCATGTATCGCTATCCATCTTTTACTAGGTTGAAACAAATCGAATAAGAGGAGTTATATGCAATGTAATAATGGAGTACTTTAGGAGCCCGGGTTTTAAGCAGGACGTCTGCTTATATATATATATATATATATATATATATATATATATATATATATATTTCTGTGTGTAAACACAGAACCTTCAACTGTGAACACATATAACTACCAGGAAAGCGGAGTTGTGGCTTCCAAAGTACGAATTAAGTAATTTACATTGAAATGGATTAATTTCTAGGGCTGATTAGCTCTCAGTGGTTTAAAAATCCAACCTAAAGCCAGTCATGTCTTCACAAACCGAACAGTTTTTTGGAATTTAGTTTCTCTTTGTCCATTAGATGTTTATGAAAATGAAACTTTATGGTGAATGCTTACACAGAAATTGCTGTACACTTCTAACTCTATTTTTTGGCATCTTTATCAAGGACAATAATTGTTTTTGGAAATGATGTTTCGGAAATGTCTCTTCGAATGGAGTATTCATTTATTGTCATAAGTATTTATGATGGGATTCTTCAAGAGTTAAAACGCTGACGCTTAAGTGCACGTTGGTCAGTCAATTTTTCTAAACTTCTCTCCTTCACTAACGCGTATTTGGCCTATATTAGAGTGAAAACTTAACCTAGGAAAAACAATACGTACTCTCAAAACTGATCATGCATTATGCACCCAAACATATAAAATCTTAGTGGTCCAGTCAACTTATCAAGTGTAGGCCCGCAGAGGTTTGGTTACTAACAGGTTTGATAAGTTAAAATACCACTGGAAAACCAGCGAGGAATGCTTTACAAATGTTTTTTTTTCATTGTTTGTGACTCTTTAGCAATGCTCATCCACTGAAATTCAAACCCATGACCTTCTGGTTATGAGACCTGTCGGTAGATCATTCATATACTGAGACCCAATCCAATACCTCATAAATTTTTATCTTCTGCCGATTCATGGTATATCTAACACAAATGCCAGCTAATGTCATTGGCGAGTAACTGATCTCTTACCAGCTTAGGTACACCCTGCTGGCTATGACGTCACATGAGAATCTTGGGTAGCTTCTTGGGTGAAACCAGCTACCACTAAGCGCCGGAATGATTATCAATTGTCGGTTCACAGGGATCTAATTAGCTACGGGTTTGGTTATGAGTTGATGGGGCCGACCAAGTCAGGTAAAGGGACCACTTACTCGCCTATGAAATTGTCTGGCTGTTGCGCTCTATATATCGCCAATAGGCGGAAGTTGGAATTTTTAGGCTGACCAGTGAATTTACTCTTATCGGATCAGTGATTTATGAAATCAGCTTGTTATCGGAAGGATCGGGATTTGAACCCTGATGTGTGAATAATTCTGAAAAGTCCCAAACTGGAAAGAAATAGCTTCACAGTTCCCACAGGTTCTCCATTGGTTATTTAACTAATGTTAGCTCGTGACTATGCCAGTAAATTACCTGGTGCCGGGTTCAGAGTGATCAAGAATGCTCTCACCCCGGGTGGAGACTCACCATTGCACCTCGGTGGGTTGAAACTCGCAACGGACCCTAATCGGGTGCGCTTGGGCGTGTAGTTTTTGTCAGTGGGAGGCCTCATGGTCCTCCCTTTATTGCGTCTTGGTGACACAGCGGTTATGACTCTCGCTGATCATGCGAGTGGTCCGGGTTTGATCCCCTGCCGACTCACGCCTGATATCTACGATCCCCCTGAAAAATTTGGGCTATCGATATCATATGCTGAAAATTTCATATCTGTACCAAAAATACGGTGTGGAATTGAGCTGTAACCAAAAAAGAACAATCTCTTTATTCATAAATACTTGAACTGTTCATATTCCCTGCATAAATCATGTAATAAGATCTGATTTTATTTAGCTATACCAGATACGATATGCGAATAACTAGGAGAATATGTTCTTAATCACTGTCATTCTAAAGATTTTATTTGGCGATTCGTATTCCTAACATAATTATGTATAAAGGTTTC